TAAATCCTTCGATTTACACGAAATTAGGCACAGTGGGCTGAATTACGTCTAGAACGATGTGTGTTAAACATCGTGAAAATCGGTTCCAATTTAGATATAGCTCCCATATATATTTTCCTCCGATTTAAGGTACCAAAGTCCCTATATATCATTCGACTTGCACGGAATTTTGCTACTTTATTACTTTCCTTACTGGTTTTAATCTGTTTAATGGAAGTAAGTGAGATTTCGGAAAATAGTGCTTATGTGTATGAAGAGTACTAAATCGCAAACTATAGTACAACAAATTTACAGTATTTACGATACCATATGAAATATTTTTTGTATTCCCTTTCCGCATACGAAGTAGCGGGCACTTTGCTAGTGTACTTATAAAAAAGTGTATTGTCCCATAATATCATGACCCACATGACAACCAAATAAAATTCTATCTGAGTGTTAATCTTATCATCTATTTCATCTTAAATATTTTTCATGTCAATTTTGTTTATCTCTATAAACATAAAGTTTATAATCATCGTCATTATCATTTTGTGATAAAGTAAGAGATAATCCAGATAATGTGTATTACAATGATATGCGAGTTTTTCCCACCGTATGATAATAGAGGTGTATTGAGGTGGTTATTGCATTTATATATTGCATCTAGTAGCAATTTAAAATAATTCAAAATGTCGTTATTTTCTTCCGGGCCGAACTGCTGTTGGTAGTACCAATGCATGGAATGATATTGAAAAATTGTTGTAAAAACATTTGACACGCAATGAGAACCGAAAATATTAAATTTGGTTGAATAACTTGCACAAAATTCTTGAAATACCGAATAAAAAGAGATAGCGTTATAAGGGGTCTATCCAGAAATTGTGCTGAGAATCCGGTCAAAGAACGTTTCCAATATACTCAAAATTCCGACAATTTGTGGTTCCGTTATAAGGAAGCTCTACCCAAAGTGGATCAATATCAAATTCACAATGAGAACCGAAATATCAAATTAGGCTATTCGGTTAAAAAAAATTTAAAAGGTAGATTTTTTTTAAATATTTTTTGAGGCCATGCCAAGGTGTAGATATTTTTCCTGAGGTCCTATATAAAGAGTAGTTTTGTTTTTATATGAAAGATATTTAATGATATATAGGGCGTGGGTTTTTATAAATATTTTTCTAAAATATATTCTAAAATATATATATATATATAATAATATTTCCGAGGCGTGAATTTTTTCAAATCATGTTTTCTGAATTCTATATAAGGCGTGGCATTTTTCAATAATTTTGTTCTGAGGTCTATACAAGGCGTGGAATTTTTATACCCTACACAACTTTGTTATCAGGGTATTATAGATTTGTGCAGCCCCAAAAGTTTGTAACGGCGCAAAATATTGGTCGTAGACCCACCTTTAAGTATACCGATCGTCATATCTCGACTAGCTGAGTCGATCTAGACATGTGTGTCCGTCCGTCCGTCTGTCCATTATAATTTGTAAACACGATACAGGCCACAGTTATGTACCAATCTTCACGAAATTTTGCATGTAGGATGGGTTCTGCCTAATGAAGACCCCTATTGTTTCTGCTAAAGATCGGTTAATATTTAGGGGATGAAATGGACCAAATACTAAATTTTTGTCGATTTTTCTGGTCGCTCCAGAGGCCGCAATTATGGCCCGAACATCGTGAAATTTTACATGGAGAAGGCGATCCGGGCAGAGAATAAGCATGCGTGTTTTGATAAAGATCGCTCAATATTTAGCGGGTCAAATGGACACTGACTTTTGTGTGAAAAACTACAAAATTTGTATTCTATAGCGTATATAATTACTCCTGAAGGACATAGTCCCAAGAAGTTGATAGTATATCCATGAGGAGGGGCTGACCTTTAAATTGGTACCAATTATGTTGTCGTATGTACTCGGATGTGGGAGTTACATTTAAATATTTACAGGTGCTTACGTACTCACATATTATTTAGGTAACCCATTATCACACTAAAGGGCGGAAATATAGCGCTGATCGCTTATAAATTTTCTATGAAGTTCCAGTTATGGTCAAGGACGACGCCTATAACTTCCGGTGATGATCAGATTATAATTATGGGATGAAGTGGACCGAATACATATTTTTTTATGTTTTTTCGAGTCGATGCCAATAATAGGGCGAACACACAACATAACCCACGGTGAAGGCAATCTGGACAATTAATTAAAAGCGCTGTACTGAATATTGGTAATATTCGGAAAATATGTCAGTGTAAGGAAGAAGTGCTATTGACCTCTAATCGGGCTAGATGGAGTAATTATCAAGAAATATTGCCCAGACTCGGTATAAACTTCCGCAGAAAGTTAGAGTTCCCTGGTAGTTGTGTAGGGTATAATATGGTCGGCCCCGTCCGACTATACTGGTTAAACATTGTTTTTCTTTTTTAAATTTTTAAATAATATTTTCCTGAAAATATATAAGGCGAGGATTTTTAAAATAATTTTTCTGATGTTTATATAAGGAGTTGATTTTTTTAATAACTTGTCTGAGGTTTATTTAAGGCGCGGAATTTTTAAATATTTTTTTTTCTGAGGTCTATATTAAACGTGGTTTTTTAATAATAATTTTTGCGTAGATTTTTTTAAATTATTTTTCATATTTTTAAGTAAAAAAGTAATTTTAGATTTTAATTATATTTTCTGAGATTTATATAAGGCGTAGATTTTTAAAATAATTTTTTCTGTGGTCTGTATAAGTAGTAGATTTTTTTACATAATTTTTTTCTGAGGTATATATAAGGCGTACATTTTTTAAATAATTTTTTCTGAGGTCTAGATTTTTAGATTTTTTTAAATGTGTTTTTTCTAAGGCATAGATTTTTTAAATATTGGTGCGTATATAAGGCGTAGATGTTTTATTAAATAGATATTTTTGTTCTGAGGTATATGTAAGTCGTAGATTTGTTAAATAATTTTTTCCAAAAAACAAAAAAAAACTCAGAATACGGAAAATCGTATCGGTTTTTATACGATACAAAGGATGGGCGAGGGCTTGTTATTGAAGAACCGGGGAATAAATTTCACTTTCCCTGCCAGATTCCAAAACGATCTTTCAGTATTATTAAGAGATCCAAATGCGCGCATAAAACCATGTAAATCTTATTGCTAAACCAAAAGGATATCAGCATATTGACAATATTTTTACGATAATGAATGTGTAAGAAGCAGCAGGTGTAGATCATGCGGGGAAGACAACAACTTCCAACCACAACCTACCCCAAGGTTCTATGGGTCACATTCGTGCATACATCACACAGCTATCTACGATAAAGTCAGGAGGTTTTCAAATTACTAGGTGGCAGCACTTGGAGAGCTGATAAAGAAACGTTGTTAACAACCCATACAGCGATGTGTTGGTGTGATCCACCAACATTAGTGCAACACAATGAAAAAATATTCAATCCTGCCAGAGATAGCAGAAGCTACCGCGACAAACCGGAGTGATTTTGTCACAATTCATATTGGGCAGGAATTGGTGACACGGTGGACAATATCTGACCTTCTTACATAACCCCATCTTCACTTCGGACACAACCGGTGCAGATCACAGCTTTAGATACTATAACTTCCATTCATGGCGTAAATAACATGAGAATTTGTAGAAGTATAGAGGGATCAATCTCAAAATGTTTCTAGAGCGCACAACAGACCCTGACTGACTTAAGTGGCTATCCAACTACGGACATATAATAAAATAAACCAGGCGTCCTTTCAAGCCAACTGAAATTTGGATGTTTGCTATAATTAGTGTATCTTGGTCATATTCTACAGAAGAAAATAGCCTCGAACCATTTTACAATTTGGCGCACAACTGTTTGCAACTTCGTATTTAAAATATCGTTTTTGCGGAAAAGTGCAAATTTTTTGAGAAAGTAGATATCATTTGGCGCCCAAGTTATTTCAAGATTTATTCTAAAAATTTAATAAAGTCAATACAGATCTGTTGTTGTAGTAGCAGCCCTGCCTTATTTATGGAATGGACTTCGATGACAGTTGGCCAGGTACGATTCATGTAGTTTCGCATCATAGAACCCGCTATTCTAGAATATTTTCTCTTGTTGTAGTAGCAACAAAAATATATGGATTATGTCGCTTCCACGACAGACCCATCTGTCGATCCGAAACGACCCTAGTCTTACTCGGTCTGTCACCTCAACCCATTGTGTAGAAGCAGTAGGACCGCAACATGGATTGTTTTTAATAGTTCTCCAGCAAGATTGCAACCTTTCAACTCCAGCAAGGTTGCAAATTTAGGGAACTGTTAGCTAAAATTTGTTGTGTTTCCCATATCAGGGCAATAGTTAGGTGTCGTATCCAAATGGTGGAAAACATCCCTCTCTTGAAACTAACCTAAACTATAATACCCCCACAATACCTATAGTAATTCTTTACTTGGCATTCCAGATGTCCCTCGTTAGCAATAAATCAAATAGTTCTTGCTATTTGTCACAACAAATAACGATAACAATTTGGGTGCAATTACCTCTGATAATTATGCATGTCAGATCGTCGTGTTGCAAAAAATAAAACAATTTATAAGCTTTCGACAAATTACCGCAATTTCAATTATAACTTTAACACCTGGTTGCTTTCAAAGTGTGTGGGCCTCTTTCATTTTCGAATTGCCTTAGGTTGTCGCCATAGCACATTCAGTTAACATTTTTATTTGAGTGTAGTGGAACACCACTTCTGGTGCAAGGTTTTCTTCACATATTTTGTCATATTTCAAACCAAACAACAACAATTTCATACATTTTGGTCGGTCAAATAAAAACAAGTTTGATTTTTCATTCACTTTTTTGGTTGTCAATATTGAAAATGTAGTTTCTTACTTCTTGTTGCAGATCATGCCATTGTCCTTGACAAACATTTTATTATTGTTGGAGCATAGCAAAAAAGTCTAACTGGTTTAAGTATTGTCGTTTGGCGAATTTGACTTTGCCTTTGAAAGTGTTGTTGCTCCGGTATGGCTGCCAGCACTAACGATGGGCACAGTGCCTTTGTAAATTTGGCATATGTACCGTCACGTCATGCATCGACCACATCGATTCCTGGTGAATATCGTAAATCATTGGATGGTGACGAGGAACGTGCCGGATCGGTTCGAAGTAATGTTAGTACAATAAAAATTGAAACGAAACCGGAAGCTGGAGTAGGTGGCGATCTTAATGGCAATGTAAGTAAAAATTATTTTTTTTTTCAAATCTACATAGGCTCCCTATTTAAATATTTTTTTTTTCTGGATTTTTTAAATAATTTTTTTCTGAGTTTTTTAAATAATTTTTTCTGAGGTTTTTAAATAATTTTTTCTGAGGTTTTTAAATAATTTTTTCTGAGGTCTATATAAGGCGTGGATTTTTTAAATAATTTTTTCTGAGGTTTTTATAAGGCGTGGATTTTTTTAATAATTTTTTTCTGAGGTTTTTAAATAATTTTTTCTGAGGTTTTTAAATAATTTTTTCTGAGGTCTATATAAGGCGTGGATTTTTTAAATAATTTTTCTGAGGTCTATATAAGGCGTCGATTTTTTAAATAATTTTTTCTGAGGTCTATATAAGGCGTGGATTTTTTAAATAATTTTTTCTGAGGTCTATATAAGGCGTGGATTTTTTAAATAATTTTTTCTGAGGTCTATATAAGGCGTGGATTTTTTAAATAATTTTTTCTGAGGTCTATATAAGGCGTGGATGTTTTAAATAATTTTTCTGAGGTCTATATAAGGCGTGGATTTTTTAAATAATTTTTTCAGAGGTCTATATAAGGCTTGGATTTTTTAAATAATTTTTTTCTGAGGTCTATATAAGGCTCAGGGACTATCCTTAGGCGTGGATTTTTTAAAGAATATTTTTTGGAGGTCTAGCCAAAGGCGTAGATTTTTTAAAGAATATTTTTTGGAGGTCGAGCCAAAGGCGTAGATTTTTTAAGGAATATTTTTTTGGCGGTCTAGCCAAAGGCGTCGATTTTTTAAGGAATATTTTTTGGCGGTCTGCCACATAGTTTTTGGAGATTTAGTAAAGGCGTGGATCTTTTTGAAATAGTTTTTGGAAGTCTTGCAAAAGGGGTGTATGTTTTAAAAATATTTTTAGAGGTCTATAAAAATATACATTTCGGATGACCCTCGAAAAATGATTCTTTTAAAAATCGCCGCCCTCTAGAGTTCAATTATACCTCAATTGTTTCCTATGGGATATAGGAGCGTATACGTAATGACCACACTTATACGCCATATAGTTCCCTTCTCTCTGATAATTAAATTTAAGTTTTAATTTTGAAGAAATTATTAATGAAATCGAATATAGTCCTTCTTTATAGGCCTTATGGTAACATCAGTAAAGACTACCCTTCACTAAACTTCTTTCCTTCTTCTTCTTTTTACAGGATTGGTGGGATTCCAAGCTACCCGAAACTGGCGTCCTTTGTTGTCTAAGTGTAATACCAAAGGTATTATTGGCCGGCGCCATAACACTTATGGATGAGGCGTACTATAAATTGGCCGTTTGGCTAAACGATAAAGGTAAGGATTAAGAAGGCTCTAAGCGATCCTAAATTTAATCCGATAAAATATTTGTTTTCTTAGAAAATTATCGCCTGCAATCGAAATATGAAAATCATCTGATAGCCAAGGTTGCTCTATTTCAATTTGTCAACTCTTTTCTATCGCTATTCTATATAGCGTTTTATTTGCGCGATGAAGAGAAGCTTAAAGAGGTGAGCAAAATTTAGAAAGAAAATTGAAAAACTTATACCTCAACCATTGCTTCGGTTTTAGCAATTGGCTGGCCTGCTGATTTCTCGACAAATTATTGGTAATTTACGTGAATCCGCCCTGCCATATGTTGCCGAACAGGTACGTCTGGCCAAGTTGAGCTTCAATATGTGGGGTGCCTTGAGTCCAACTCAGGATAATAATCGCACCTTTGCGGAAAGTGTGGCTGCGGCGGGAGCAGCTGGTTCTACGGACTCTGAGAAAACCAAACAGGCAAGTGGCACCTCAACTCCCATGCAGCCGGGCACGCCATCGAAGCAGCTACCCAAGAAACCATCCACAGATACGGGTTGTTCAACGCCATCGACGACTACGAGTGCAACTAAACGGAATATTGGACAGGCGGAAATTGAAAGTTCATTGTATAAGGTAAGGAAGGTGCGGGGGTGCGTATGAGTTGTGTCAGTAGTCATACGCCACATAGGACAAGAATTAATATTTAATTTTTAGGGACCTACATGGGGCCTGGATTTAAAAAAAATATTTTTAGGGATCTCAGACAAGGTGTCGATTTTTTAAAAAAATATTTTAGGGAGCTCAGACAAGGCGTCGATTTTTTCAAAAAATATTTTTGGCTTTAATTTTTTCATTCATTTCCAGTACGACGGCACCTTTTCGGATCATTTGGAAATGCTTGTCCAAATGGGTTATGTTGTGCTATTTTCGGCCGCCTTCCCCCTGGCCGGAATATGTGCCCTCATTAACAATCTAATGGAAATTCGTTCCGATGCCTTTAAATTGGCCCATGTACATCAGAGGCCATTTGGTCAACGTGTTGCCAACATTGGAACCTGGCAGAATGCCCTCAGCCTGCTGTCACTGGCTGCGGTCATTGTGAATTGTGCATTGATTGGCCTATCCGGTCAAGTGTCACGTTTGTGGCCGGGCCTAACAACGGCACAAACGATTATTTTGATAGTGACACTAGAGGTAGGTTCAATGATGTGGGAGGGGAAGGGGAGTGGTATTAATCTATCTCTCTCTCTCATTGTAGCATATCATGTTGGGCCTACGTTCAGCTTTAACCTGGTTACTGCCAGAGTTACCATCATGGTTGGCAGCGGAAATAGCCCGAGCCGAACATTGCCGCCGTGAAATGCAATGTAAGGGCACCTCGCCACGACCCACACCACCAACACCGCCCAGTACCACCTCCACCCAACCGGATCATGAATTGGCCGCCTTGAATTTAGCCGATGTTAATAGTTGTGGTGCCGCTGTGTCGGCTGCTGCAGCTGCTGCCAATCAACAGTCCATACAGCGGCAATTGTCCGAAGATCTACTGTATCAACAAGAGCTGCTGAAGCAGCGTGAATTTGAACCCTATGTCGATGAAATATCCAGATTTGGTTTGCAGCGTAATATCGAGGCGGATGTAAATGTTTTTGAGAATCGTGACTCATCACCGGATTCACCACCATCACAGGTAAAGGATATTTTTGAAATGTATTTTTCAAAAAAAATAATAAATTTTTTTAATTACTTTTAGACAAGCACAATCCTCATACGCCCCCTGCTTGAGTCCACACCACCCATGGGTGGTGCCTCCTTGACAAGTCTTAATCAGGATGTTGGCCGTTCTCACAGCGGGTATGTATTATATTTTTAATGAATTTTTGTTACTAGAGGTCAACAGATTTTCAATATTTTTTATTTACCTTAAAATGAATAAATCAAACACACACAAACACACTCTACTTAAATTTCCTAACACATATATGCCTTCTGCATTCACACACATATACATTTCCTCTTTACATTTCTAATACTTAAACACATTTTTGCTATTTCTTTGTATGTATTTGTTTCACAATCTTTTTTAAGCTTATTTAATTTTAAGATATAAATATTTTTGAAATATAAATCATTATCCTGCTTGAAATCCCCAGTCAAAATCGGAAGAACACATTAGAATGACCTGGCCATCGAAATTTTAATCGGGTAGAGGTCTGAAGTTAAATTAATAGAATATCACAGTTTATAAGGTCGTTTAAACAATTTTAAAAAATAGTAAACAAATTACTCTAAACCAGTGAGCGGATCAGTATAGTCGGACGGAGCCGACCATATGATACCCTACACAACTTCGACGAACATCTAACTATCTGTGGTTCTATATTCAGAGCTTGGGCAATATTTCGCGATATTTGCACCCTCTAGACCCACTATATGTCAACAAATATTTCTAATATTCAGTAGACGAGGACTATACTTGTCCCGATTTTCCTTATCGTGGGTTATGTTGTGATGTTAAGCTTTCTATTGTGGCCTGTAGATCGACTTAAAAAAAAACACAAAAAATTAAGTTTTCGGTCCACTTAATTCCAATATTATTATCTGATCATCACCGAAAATTATAGGCGTTGTCCTTGGCCATAATTGGAACCTCATGAAAAATTTCAAAGCGATCAGCGCTATATTTCCGCCCTCTAGTAATGGGTTACTAAATAGTATCTGAATATGTACGGACGGACGGACGGACACGCTAGATCTACTCAGCTATCCGAGATATGACGATCGGTATACTTAAAGGTGGGTCTAGGACCAATATTTCGCGGCGTTACAAACTCTGGGGCTGCACACAGCTATAATACCCTGACAACATAGTTGTGTAGGGTATAAAAATTAAATTTGGAAAAAAAAATGTTTCAAAATAATTTTGATTTTTTTAATGTTTTATACCCTTCCCCACACTGTGGTACAGGGTATTATGTCTTTGTGCATATGTTTGTAGTAGGCAAAAAGAAACGAAATAGACACATAGTTTCTTTTGAGAATATGCATAGAATCACTTTCTGAGCCGATTTACGGATGTCCGTCTGTCCGTCCGTCCATGTATTATTGTGAACAAAGTACAGGTCCCATTTATGATCCGAATTGGATGAAATTTGGCATAGGTCACTTATTTGACCCAAGAGTGAACACTATTGGGAAAAATCGGTTCAGATTTAGATATAGCTCTCGTACATAGTTTCGTCCGATTTAATGTAAATGGTGTACCAAGTCCCTATATATCTTTCGATTTGCACGAAATTGGGCATAGTGTACTGAATTAGGTATAGAATGATGTGTGCTAAGTTTCGTGAAAATCGGTTCAGATTTGGATATAGCTCCCATATATATTTCCACCCGATTTAATGTAAATGGACTACCAAAGCCCCTATATATCATTCGATTTGCACGAAATTCTGCATAGTATACTAAATTATGTCTAGAATGATGTGTGTCAAGTTTCGAGAAGATCGGTTCAGATTTAGATATAGCTCCCGTATATAGTTTCGTCCGATTTAAAGTAAATGGAGCACCAAAGTCCCTATATATCTTTCGATTTGCACGAAATTTGGCACAGCGTATGGAATTATGTCTAGAATGAAGTGTTTCAAGTTTCGAGAAAATCGGGTCAGATTTAGATATAGCTCCCATATATATTTTCGTCCGATTTTATGTAAATGGTGCACCAAAGTCCCTATATATATCCTCGATTTGCACGAAATTTGGCATAATGTACTGAATTAAGTCTAGAAATATGTGTGTGTAAAGTTTCGTCATAATCGGTTCAAATTTAGGTATAGCTCTCATATGTCTTTTCTTCCGATTTTATGCAAATTGTGCACTAAGGACCTAAAGTTTGTCCGATTGGTATACAATTTTGTACAATGTACTGAAGTTAATATAAATTAATCTCTGGCAGGTTTCGTGGAAGTCCTTTTAGATTTAGATATAGCTCCATATATATTTTCGTTGGCTTTTAGGTAAATGGTGCACCGAATGACACGAAATTTTGCACAACGTATCGAATTGAGACACTAGAATGACGTTATTGAGTTTTGTTGAAATTGGTGCAGATGCAGAATAGCGTGTATCAAGTTTGCTCTAAATCGATTTACAGAAATTTGTTCCATTGTATGCAAAACGAATCTAAACTTGCCGAAATGAAATGAAATTTTGAATAGGTTCCAGAAAGACATAAATATCACATATTCGAGTTTGTTCAAGTTTGGTCAATATTCTTCGAAAAGGTGACGTCTTTTAGAAGACATAGATATGTAGAATATTCATTTCTGATCTTTATTTTTACTTATGACCACCGCCAGATTGATAAAAAAAAATCAAATTTTGAATCAAAATGATGTTATAAGGAAAAAAACATTTTTTGAAAAGTGGAAGACTCGAAAATCGAGACAGACCTATGGTTCCTTCGCCAAAATTGCTTAGAATTGTCCATAGAATCATCCAAGGGGCTTCATTGAATTTTTCGGCTCCATACATATTGGGACGTATATAGACCCCATATATATATATATATATATATTCAGCCGATTTTTGTGATTGGTGCAGCAAAGACTTTAGGTTGTTAGATTGCGAATGCCGAGTATTAAATATATAAATATTTATAATTTTTGGTACGGAGGTTTGGTACCAAATAACAGCCACTTCGATAAAAAAAAACATCTCCAAATTCCTACAAATATTAACATTTTAGGAATATCCTTATGTGGGGGCGACCTGAAAAAATGGACCATTATTCATAATTCTTGCTAGGGAGGTTTGCTACCTAATTAGACCCCCAAAATATCAAATTATAGCCACTTCTCTAGGAAAATTATCCAATATGCCGAATATTGGTGCAGTATACCAAACTTGTAGCTATACCAAACAAAACATGGTACAATATATTCCATACTCATTTCCAAACATCATTAGAGTAGTAAAAATGTAAAGGCAATATATTTTTTATAAATAAAAGGCTAGATCTGAATCCTTTCAAATTTCTATTTTAATTAGAAATCTCCTCTATTCCTCTCCTTTTTTAATTTTCTTGCACTTTTTTAAGTACAAAAACAATACCAAAAAACACTTACACACAATGGGTTACAATTTATAAAAATTTTAATATTTTTTTTCTACATTTATTTTTTTTCTAAATTTTTAAAAATTATAATTTTTTGTCAATTTTTCGTAATTTTTTTTCGAAAATAAAAGCGCATGCAAAAATTGTAAGCAGAAAAAGAAAATACCGGAAATACCCCCATTTCATGGATATTCAGTTCGTAATTTAAGCTCCATACCAATACAAAGATTGCACGCTTTAACGGGGTAAAGTCATAACTATAGATACATATGTATATAAATGTGTGTGTGTAAATAGATGTTCAAAAGAGTGTGTGTGCAATGGATTTTATTTTCTTTTTGAAATTATAAAAAAATTCATATTTTCGTATTTATTTTTCAAAAAATAAATCTATAAATAAACCAGTGAGCGGAGCAGTATAGTCGGACGGGGCCGACCATGCGATACCCTACACAACTACCACGAACTCTAACTTTCTGAGGATGTTTATTCCGAGTCTGAGTAATATTTCGTGATATTTGCGATCTCTTGTCCGATTAGAGGTTAACAACACCTCTTCCTTACTTTTTTCGAATATTCAGTACAGTCCTTCTAATTACTTGTCCAGATTACCTTCACGGTGGGTTGTGTTGTGATTTTCGGATTATACTCTACTCGAAAACACACAAAAAATTATGTTTTCGGTCCATTTCATCCCAAAATTTTAATCTGATCATCACCGAAAATTGTAGGCGTTGTTCTTGACCATAACTGGAACTTCATGAAAAATTTCAAAGCCATCAGCGCGATATTTCTCCCTCTAATGTGGTAATGGGTTACTAAATAATATCTGAATACGTAAGCACCTGTAAATATTTGACTGTAACTCCCACATCTGAGTAGATACATCACTATATTTGGTATCAATTTAAAGGCCAACCACTCCTCTTGGATATGCTATCAACTCCTGGGGTCTACATCCTCCAGGAGTAAATATATATGCCATAGAATACAAATTTTGTCATTTTTCACACAAAAGTCAGGGTCCATTTGACCCGCTAAATATTGACCGATCTTTATCAAAACATGCATGCTTATTCTCTGGCCCGATCCCCTTCTCCATGCAAAAATTCGCGGTGTTTGGGCCATAATTGCGGCCTCTGGAGCGACCAGAAAAACCGACAAAAATTTAGTATTTGGTCCATTTCATCCCCTAAATATTAACCGATCTTTTCCAAAAACAATAGGGGTCTTCATTGGCCAGAACCCATCCTACATGCAAAATTTCGTGAAGATTGGTACATAACTGTGGCCTGTATCGTGTTTACAAATCATGATGGACAGACGGACGGACGGACACACATGTCTAGATCGACTCAGCTGGTCGAGATATGACGATCTGTATACTTAAAGGTGGGTCTAGGACCAATATTTCGCGGCGTTACAAACGTTTGGGGCTGCAAAAAGCTATAATACCCTGACAACATAGTTGTGTAGGGTATAAAAATCAATATTTTTTAAAAGAATATTACAAAAAAAATCAAAATATCTTAAAAAATCGTTTTTGTTTATAGTTTGAAATTGTAAAAATTAAAAAAAAAAATATTTTTTAAATAATTTTTTTAAAGGATAAATGAAAAGACAGAAAATTGCATTATTAAATGTTGGTTAGGTATTTTGTATTAATTTTTATCCAACGGAAATTTTAAAACACAAAAAAATTCAAAAAAAATTTTTTTGATTAAAAAAAACTGCTTACTTAGACCATAGTAGCATCTGTTGGCCAACACTATTCTTCTCCGAATTTCAAAACTGATGCCATTCGTTTTATTTATGGCGGTACTAAGGTATATAAAATCTTCGACTACCTCGAAGCTGTAATTCTCAAGTTCTACTGGACGTCTTGCGCGTTTATACCATCAGCTTTGTCTTCTCGCCGTTTACTGCCAGACCCACTTTGTCAGACTCCTTCTCAATTTGTTCAAAGGTGGCTGTTACCGCTCTCAATGTTCGACCCATTATGTCGATGACATCGGCGTAGGCGAGTAACATGTGTTGTTTAGTGTACAGAGTGCCATTTCTGTTAACTTTTGCATCTCGTATGACCTTTTCCCGCAGGATGTTTAAAAGGTCACACGACAAACTGTCACCTTGTCTGAATCCTCGTTCGGTATTAAAGGGCTCTGAGAGGTCCTTTCCAACTTTAACTGCTGATCTTATGTCAATGATCTCATGTAAAGTTATCCTGCAAAGATCATTGACATAAGATCAGCAGTTAAAGTTGGAAAGGACCTCTCAGAGCCCTTTAATACCGAACGAGAACGAAAGATCTTATGTAAAGTTATCCTGCAAAGCCGAATTCATTTTACAGGAAGCCAAACGCAGACATGGCTTTATACACCTCTGAACGGATAGGGCTGTCAAAAGCGGCTTTATAGTCGACAAATAGGTGGAATGTACCGACGTTTTTTTCATGGTTTTTCCAGGATTTGGCGCAGAGTGAAAATCCGGTCAATGGTGGATTTGCCAGGTCTGAAGTCGCATTGGTATGGTCCAATAATGTCATTGACCATTGGCTTCAGTCGTTCACACAGTACGTTGGATAGCACTTCATTTGCGATGGGAAGGAGACTTATTCCTCTATAGTTGACACATATCGCCTTGTCTCCTTTTTTGTGCACGGAACACAGGATGCTAAGGTTCCAATCATTGGGCATGCAGTCTTCTAGCCAAATTGTACTAATCAGCTGGTGCATGCTCCTTACAATTTGGCAGCATCTGACCACCAGTCTTGAATAGTGAGGCTTGTAGCCGCCCCATCGGCACCTGCTGATTGCTATTCTGACGTCATATTGGCTAGGTGGTATACACTCTATACCGTCATCTATTATTGGTTCTGGGGTATCCTCGTCTCCGCTACTATTTGATACCAGACGTTTTTCAAAATGTTCCTTCCAGATCCTCAGCACGCTGTCTGTATCTGTCACCAGGATTCCTTCTTCATCTCTACAGGAGGATGTGCCTGAACCAAAGCCTTCGGTTTGGTGTTTTACTCGATGGTAAAATTTCCGGACTTCATTCTGACTCCTGTACATCTCGTTTTTCTTACGCTCACGTTTTTCTTGTTCTTTCTTTTTTTAATACGTTTCTCCTTTTTTCCCGATAGTTCTCCAACGCATTACGTGTTGCTACTGTCTGCAGGGTTGCCCTACACGCTGCGTTTTTATACCCTCCACCATAGTATGGAGGGTATATTAAGTTTGTTTTTCCGGTTGTAACTCATCAAAATAATCATCTCCGACCCTATAAAGTATATATATTCTTGATTGGCGTAAAATTCTATGACGATATAGCCATGTCCGTCTGTCTGTTGTAATCACTCTAGCGTCTAAACGAATGGAGATAGAGCCAAATTTTGCATAGAGTCGTCTTTTGTCTGCAGACAGGTCAAGTTCGAAGATGTGATTTATCGGTCCACGTTTAGGCATAGCTCCCATATAACAGTACACCCCAATTTTCGGTATTTTGGGGTTCTTGAGCGTGGTTTTCAATCGAATACGCTGAAATTTTGTACATTGAGTTCTTATTGGGTACTAAATGTCTCCAAAATTAAAAGTATAGGTCCACTTTTTCTGGTAGCCCCCATATAACGGTACCTCCTAATTTTCAATATTTTGGCTGTAATTTAGTATTTTGAGTTCTTAATATGTACCAAATCTCTCCACAAAAAAATATGAATATAGGTCCATTTTTTCGGGTAGCCCCCACACAAGGGTACCCTCCAATTTTCGGTATTTTAGGGTTCTTGAGCGCGTTTTTCAGCCGAATTTGTTGCAAATTGGTATTTTGTAGTCGTATATGGTACCAAATCTCCCTACCAAAAATTATTAATATTCGCCCCCATTTTAGGGTAGTCCCCATATAACCCCGTTTTTATATTAAAATGGTTATCTGACTTGTTCCGCGTTTTGAGTTTGGTTCTAAGACTCTGATGTAATCATTTCACCTGCGGAGGATATCGAGATAAAAAAGTAGAACGTTCGATAATGGACTATAACCCGCATTAAGACATAGTCGCTGTATGGAGGTTCCAGACAAAGTTGACCGATATTCCCCATCTTCGAATTTGAACTAAGATTGTAAGAAATAATAAGATGGACAAAGTTTGGATGAAATCTAAATTTTTTGAAGCGCATTTGGTCCAAAGATACATGGGGTCTAGAATCGATAATTCAATTAGCCACAGTGTATTATAATCCATTAAAAATTACTGAATTTTTTGTTATGGTTTACATAATCCCTTTTTAGAAATGTCGGTATAGGTCCACTTTTTGGTATGTTCCCATTATTTTCATTGCTAGTACCTGTCAGTATATCTATGGTGAAGGGTACCCAAAGTTCGGCCCGGCAGAACTTAACGCTTTTTACTTGTTCATATTCTGATCGTACCACGGATTTCTTGATGGTGGTCTTTGGTACCCAAGTGTAGCTTTTCCTGCAGTTTATAGGGAGTGGGCAATTATTTGCCATTGTGCTTCTATACTATTATCGGGACAAGAAGTGCTTTCGTCAAGCAGGTGGGTAAGTCGTGCGGAGTAGGCTTCTGCCATCTGATGTGTTTGCAGTTTTTCGACGTCAAATTTCCGTGTTACATTAGATCGCACCTTTGCTGCTACATTAAGACGGGTGCGAACCTTGGCTGCCACAAGGTAATGGTCCGAATCGATATTCGCTCCCCGGATCGATCGGACGTCTAGAACACTGGATGAATGCCTTCCGTCTATCACAACATGATCGATTTTATTTCTCATTGTTCGATCGGGAGAAATCCAAGTGGCCTTGTGTATATCGAGATGCTTGAATCTGGCTGCGAAGTCAATCAACCTCATGCCATTGTCTGATGTTTCTTCATGGAGGCTGAATTTTCCGACGGTAGGGCCAAAGATATTTTACCTTCCGATTTTTGCATTAAAATTTCCTAGCAGAATTTTAATGTCATGGCCAGGGCAACAATCATATGCTGTTTCTAGGCGCTTTATCTTCGGTCGGAGCAGGGGCGCAAATGAGACTGATGTAGAAGAACTTCGTTTTTGTACGGATTATAGCATCTCGCTCATCTACTCGAGTGAATCTGGAGACGAAGTCTTTTATTCTCTTGTTAACCATAAATCCGCAGCCAAATTCACGTCTCGTTTCGTGGCAGCTATAATACATGGCGTAATCATCTGATTTACTGTAAGGCAATAATATCGGCTTTGTACTCAAGAAGAGTACATCCGCCAAAGCGAGTACATGTGCGCCTGTTCAGTACGACGTGCGCACATTCTTATGTGTGAACTCGCGGCACATATTAGCTCAGTATTGCATCTGGTGATGAAAATAGCTCCCCAGGTGGGAGGGGAGGTCAGTGTCCACGATTGAGATGGAAGAGGGACCAAGATAAGCCTGGACTTCACCATTTTAATGCCAATCAGATCCGTTGCTTGGTATCTATCATCCCCTATATAATAAAAATATTTATATAATAAATATTTATTTAAAAAAAAATAAATAAATAAAAAATATTTTAAAGAATAGATTTGTTTCTAATAAAAAATAGCTTTTTTCTGTCTTTTTAGATAATTTTTTTTTTCAAAAAAAAAAAAATATATATATATATATAAAAGGATTTCAATTCTTTTTACAAATAGTTACAAGAACTTCTAATTTTTTTTAAAGAGATATTTTTTCAAAACTTAAAAAAACTTCCAAACGAACGCATGTTTCAGATTAAAAAAATAATAATAATATTGTTTCTAATTTTAAATGTTTTTTAGTTGTTGTATTTTCCACCTACATTTTTCTTATGAAAATATTGCTAATGATTTTTTTCTTGATTACCATATATCTTATCTCTTTTCAAATTTTTTCTCTTCACGAAATTTTGCTCTCGAAATATTTTTTCTCTTCACACACTTTTTTTTTTAAAAAAATCACAATTTTTTCGAAATATTTTTGTAACGCCCTGCCTTGGTCCCTTGTCTCATATTCCCCTTTCATCTATACTCCTCCTCCAACTATCCTTTTGCATTTTTGTTTCTTTTTTTCCTTTACACTCAATTTTGCTTCTTTTCTTTCTCTCTATATTTTTGGCTTCCTATTTTTTTCTCTCCTTCTCCTTTCTTCTTCTTGTATCAAAAAAAAAAAAAAATCGAACCTCCTGTAAATACATTTAGAGCTTCTGCAAGTTCCTTGGCCTTAAATACCCGTCAATGTATGCATCTACCAGAAATACCACCCTTCCGGAAGAAATCCACGGATTCGGCCGAGCAAACTGGCAGTAGTGCCAGCAGTAGTCCCCAACGGACTACCGGCATTGCCATCAATTCCAACAATAATAATAATGCTAGTAACATTTCCCGCCACCAACAACAACAACAACAGCCATCGCAATTAACATCACAGTCGCTAATTGGCTCAGCCGCATCGACACCACCCCCCGCCGCTGCCTCAGCCACGTCATCATCATCATCCAGTTCCCAGCCACAGACAACAATAACACAAGAAAAGAAATTACCCACAATATCGAAGCTATCGGAAATACCGCCATTTAATGCCCGCAAAATATCCGCTGAGAGTACCATGAATTTGAATATAAGCGTAAGACATCAATATTTGAATACATATTTTAAAAAAAGAACATAAATTTTCAAAATTTTTATTTTTATGATTTTATTATTGGGATCAACTACTACTACTATCCTCCTCTCCCTAGTTTGTCTATGGAGTCCTATAAATAACATTTGTATCCAAAATTTAGTTGTAATTTTTCACATAGAAACACCACGAACTTTCACCCAAAAAATTTGAAAACACTGTCAGATATTGAAATGAAAGAGGATTGAGAAATTATATATATAAAAATTTCATACGAAATTTTGCATATGATAGTTTCATATGCAATTTTTTATATGAAAGTTTCAAGTGAAAGTTTCAAGTGAAAGTTTCATGTGAAAATTTCATGTGAAAATTTCATGTAAAAAATATCATGTGAAAATTTCATGTGAAAATTTCATGTGAAAATTTCATGTGAAAGTTTCATGTGAAAGTTTCATGTGAAAGTTTCACGGGAAAGTTTCACGGGAAAGTTTCATGTGAAAGTTTCATGTGAAAGTTTCATATGCAAATTTTTGATACGAAAGTTTAATATGACATTTTTTGGTATGAAAGTTTCATTTGAATTTTTTTTTCGTATGTGAAACTTTTTGTTATCAAAATTTCATACGAAATTTTTTGATATGAAAGTTTCATTTTTATTTTATTTTATTTTTTTTTTTTATATGTAAGTTTCATATGAAATTTATTGATACGAAAGTTTCATATGAAATTTTTTGATATAAAAGTTTTATATGAAATTTTTTGATGTGAAAGTTTCATATGAAATTTTTTGATGTGAAAGTTTCATATGAAATTTTTTGATATGAAAGTTTCATATGAAATTTTTTGATATGAAAGTTTCATATGAAATTTTTTGATATGAAAGTTTCATATGAAATTTTTTGATATGAAAGTTTCATATAAAATTTGTTGATATAACTTGAAAAATCCTATTTAAAAAATTCACGCCTCCGTTAGTCCTTGAAAAATCCTATTTAAAAAATTCTCGCCTCTGTTAGTTCTTGAAAAATCCTATTTAAAAAATCCACGCCTCTGTTAGTCCTTGAAAAATCCTACTTAAAAAATCCTCGCCTCTGTTAGTCCTTGAAAAATCCTATTTAAAAAATCCACGCCTCTGTTAGTCCTTGAAAAATCCTATTTAAAAAATCAACGCCTCTGATGGTCCTGAAAAACCTTTGTCCAAAATCCATGCCTTAATTGGTCCTTGAAAAATGTTTACATGAAACTTTCTTATGAAACTTTCATATAAAACTTTCTTATGAAACTTTCTTGTGAAACTTTCATTTGAAACTTACATATGAAACTTTCTTGTGAAACTTTCATTTGAAACTTTCTTGTGAAACTTTCATTTGAAACTTTCTTGTGAAACTTTCATTTGAAACTTTCTTATGAAACTTTCATTTGAAACTTTCTTATGAAACTTTCATATGAAACTTTCTTATGAAACGTTTATATGAAACTTTCGTATAAAACTTTTATATACAACTTTCTTATGAAACTTTCATATGAAATTTTCTTATGAAACTTTCATATGAAATTTTCTTATGAAACTTTCATCTAAAACTTTCATATGAAACTTTCATATGAAATTTTCTTATGAAACTTTTATATGAAATTTTCATATGAAACTTTCTTATAAAACTTTCTTATGAATACATTTTTCATATACATTTGAAATTTTCACATGAAATTTCGAGAAAATCAAAATCGATCCTTTCAATGTCTGACATATAAAACACCTCACACACTTTCACTCTACTCAATCACACCCTTTCACCCCACAACAACAACAATATATATTATTATTATTAAAATTTCTTTCCCATGTAAAATATTAAAATCCTTATCCAATTACGACAGGATAATTATAATAACAAAACCCATGCACCCGAATGGATGTCACGTTTAAAAGTCAACGATAATGTTAATCTACGTAGGAGTATTGATTGTATATCCAAGGTAGCGAAAAAAATCCTTTGCCAAAAAATATTTTACAGTGACAAACAAAATTGAATTGAAATTCTGAATTTTATTCGAATTTAAATTTAATTCCTTATCACCTCGACTTCCTCGCCCGGTTTGGCTCTTATATATAATTTCCATTCACCGGTGTTTAGCTGTTGGTTTTGTAACCTGGTAGAATAACGACTCCGCCCTCCATTTATAAAACGACAAATATTCGAACGTAGAATTGTCGAGGGATTTGCCGGATTCACTTCCTTGTAAACTAAACAATCATATGTTGTGGCCCTCGGGCATTGGATCTGATCACAGTAGAAGGTAGCTGGAAACAAAATCAGGGAAAATAATTATAAAAATTTCAAAATTTTGATTTTCACTCAAATCTTACTTAAAGTGGTTCTAATAACGACATCTCCAATTCGGGTACAATGTTTTGGTCCTGCATATACCCGAACCGGTATTAAAATTAAAGCCAACATCAGCGTTTGAATTCCGACCATTTTTCATTGACATAAGGAATACTCATTTACGGAAATGTAACCACTTCTAAGATTTCTATAAAACTGTCAGCATGCCATGCTGATCGTAGTCAGAACTTAGAGAACCATACAACCGCAATGTATTTTAAGTTTTATAAAACCACACGCGAGACCTTCAAACTGCGGCCTTTAATGATTCAAAAATATATTTATTGGATAAAAATATCAGAAATAAAAACGTCGTTTTGTTCGACCTGGTAAACCCCTTCGAATTCAAAACAAATGAAATCTATCTTCTTGAAAATTTCTATTTAAAAAATCCACGCCTGTGATGGTCCCTGAAAAATTCTATTTAAAAAATCCACGCCTGTGATGGTCCCTGAAAATTTCTATTTAAAAAATCCACGCCTGTGATGGTCCCTGAAAATTTCTATTTAAAAAATCCACGCCTGTGATGGTCCCTGAAAATTTCTATTTAAAAAATCCACGCCTGTGATGGTCCCTGAAAATTTCTATTTAAAAAATCCACGCCTGTGATGGTCCCTGATAATTTCTATTTAAAAAATCCACGCCTGTGATGGTCCCTGAAAATTTCTATTTAAAAAATCCACGCCTGTGATGGTCCCTGAAAATTTCTATTTAAAAAATCCACGCCTGTGATGGTCCCTGAAAATTTCTATTTAAAAAATCCACGCCTGCCTGATGGTCCCTGAAAAATTTCTATTTAAAAAATCCACGCCTGTGATGGTCCCTGAAAATTTCTATTTAAAAAATCCACGCCTGTGATGGTCCCTGAAAATTTCTATTTAAAAAATCCACGCCTGTGATGGTCCCTGAAAATTTCTAAAAAAATCCACGCCTGTGATGGTCCCTGAAAATTTCTATTTAAAAAATCCACGCCTGTGATGGTCCCTGAAAATTTCTATTTAAAAAATCCACGCCTGTGATGGTCCCTGAAAATTTCTATTTAAAAAATCCACGCCTGTGATGGTCCCTGATAATTTCTATTTAAAAAATCCACGCCTGTGATGGTCCCTGATAATTTCTATTTAAAAAATCCACGCCTGTGATGGTCCCTGATAATTTCTATTTAAAAAATCCACGCCTGTGATGGTCCCTGATAATTTCTATTTAAAAAATCCACGCCTGTGATGGTCCCTGAAAATGTCTATTTAAAAAATACACGCCTGTGATGGTCCCTGATAATTTCTATTTAAAAAATCCACGCCTGTGATGGTCCCTGAAAATTTCTATTTAAAAAATACACGCCTGTGATGGTAAAAAATTCTATTTAAAAAATCCACGCCTGTGATGGTCCCTGAAAATTTCTATTTAAAAAATCCACGCCTGTGATGGTCCCTGAAAATTTCTATTTAAAAAATTCACGCCTTAATTGGTCTCTGAGTATTTTGCATTTAAAAAATCCACGCCTTAATTGGTCCCTGAAAAATTCTATTTAAAAAATCCCCACGCTTCTGTGGTTTCTTGAAAATGTTTAAATTAAATTTTTTGCCTTCACTTTTGTTTGTCACTGTATAGTAATGAGTGTTAATAGTCTAGTTTATTATAGATCAGTGTTATTAGCCCAAGTTACTGAAAAAATATGCAAAAAATATTAGCTTGTTGGAGAAAATTTAGATGTTAAATGTAATCTCATTCCTGAATGTTATCAATGAGAAAAAATCATTCATAAAAATTCATGTTGCATTTTTATGTCAGAGTGTGTTACTATATACCCAAATATATATATATTAAAAATTAAATTAGGATTGTTATTTAGCCTTATGTATCATTGAGTTAAATAAAATCGAGTTGCTTAAAAAATTGTATGGAAATAAATGTCAGCGATGTGGTTGTGCATATTTATAGCAGTATTGTGGAGTTTGGGTGAATTCTTCGAACATCGAAGTCAAAAAAGAATCATATTTAACTTATGGGAAATCGAAAATAAATTTGTATGTAAGATACATTTTAGTTCCTGGAAGTTGTCCTTGAAGTCATAATGTTTGCTTCTTTCCTTCGACTTGTCCGCAATTTATACCATAATTCCGACTTGGACTCCGGTGCATTACTCTCTGACTCCATATAGTCTGCACTGAATGCATTTTGTCCATGAAAACGACATTCAAGCTATATGTGGTCTCCGCTGATTTAATAAAGTCACAATTCAGTAAACATGCTCTGTTCTAAATCCCTGTAATATCCGCTGCCGCGCAGTTGCTTCTGTATCCATGAAATCAGCATCCGAATTCTTGTAATTACTGTAGACTTTTTAAATATGCTCTGATTTCAATGTTTAGATTTTAATTTCAAGAAGTTGTATTTTAATCCATCTAAGTGTCGACTATAGTTAGGTTCATCTATCTTGATAAAATCAGAGTTAAATTATTTTATATGCCTTTGTTTTCATAGTACCGTGCAGTAATCCCTGATTCTACAAGGTCAGCATTGAATAAATTTAGTTTATGGAAATGACATTATGATCTTATGTGGACTTTGCTCATTTTATAAAATCAGCATTCTACCCAAATGGAGGCCTATAAATCCCTGTAATATCCGCTGTCACGCTGTAGGCTCTGCCTTTATGAAATCAGAATTCAAATGAATTTTTTCTTCAGATTTCAAGGAGTAGATTTTCACAACAGAAAGTTGCCTTTTAGTCCATCTAGGTGTCAAATACGGTTAGGTTCCAATATGATATCGACATTTACCTCGGTGCAGTTACCTCTGGCCTCATGGAGTTAGCACTGAATGCATTTTGTCAATGAAGGCGACATTTAGACCTTGTGTAGATACCGCTGATTATATAAAGTCTGCATTGAGTTCACATAGCTGCCTCTAATATCCTGAAGTCCCCGCTGCCACACAGTACCACATGAACATTTAATTGAATAAATACATGTAAATGCTTCAAACATCACAAGATCACATCTGACGTCAAGTAGTAAAATTCAATTTGTAATCGCTTCCGAGTCCTCGGTGAATCTATGAAATCTTCATTTAAAAAAGTTTATTTCCTTCCACTTCATAAAATCATGTTCGATCTTTTATAGTTGCCTATAAATCCAAGATATCGACTTTTACAGCGATGCAGTTCCCTCTGGCTCCATGAAATCAAAATGAAATGTAGTATGTCCATGACAATGACATTCCGATCTTTAGCTGTCAACGCTGATTACATAAAGTCACCAGTCGATCTACATATTCGCTCCTAAATATCCGTAACGCCCGCTGCAACGCAGTAGCTTCTGTTTCCATAAAATCAGAATTCAAATTCATGTATCTGCTTTAGACGTTTCAAAATATCAAAGTATCTGATTTCAAACAGGAAGATGAATTTTAGTCCATTAGAGAATCCGATTTCAAGCAGTAGATTTTCACCCCAAGAAGATGAATTTTAGACTACGGAAGGGTTCCTCTGACTTCATAAAATCAAAGTCGAATTCTGTTACATGTCTCTATTCCCATGTTATGGATTTTTTTACTGCGGCGCATTACTCCCCGACTCTATAAAATCATCATAGACTGATATATTGTTCATGAACAAGATATTCTGACCTTGTGTGGTTCCCGCTGTTCACATAAAGTCAGCATTCGATCCATATAGTCGCCTTAAACTCCTGTAATCCCCGCTGCTCCCATGGAATTATCATTTAATCAATGTGGTCGTTTCAAACTTCACAAATTCACCTCTGACTTCAAGGAGTTGTACATGTATTTTAATCTCTAGAAAACGACTGTTGTCTAGAAAATGTTCTTCAAGATATTTTCTTTCTCTCCACTTCATAAAATCCGATTCGATCCCTTTTAAAAGCCTATAAATCTGTTATATCAACTTTAATGCGGTGGAGTACTCTCTGACTTCATAAAATTAGTATGGTAGGTATATTATCCATGAAGACGATATTGTAACCTTATGCGGTTTCCGCTGATTACATAAACTAAGCATTCTGTCGACATATTCGCCTCTAAACACCTGTAATACAGGCTGCCACGTATTAGCTTCTGTTCCCCTAAAATCATAATTGAATCCATGTAGTTGTTTCAAGCTTCACAAATTCATCTCGGAATTCAAGGAATAGAAGTCGTTATTTAATCTCTAGGAGTCTGTGACTTCAAGGAGTAAAATTCCCATTGAAATATCTTTGAATCTGTGGAATGTTCCTTTAGCACAATTTCTTTCCTCCCACTCCATAAAATGAACTTTTATCCTTTATATATGATTCTGAAACTATCATGTCGACTTTGACTAGAGTGCATTGAATCTATGTGGTTGCTTGAATCTTTACAAATACACTTCCGTCTTCTAAGAGTAGCTGTCGTATTTTAATCTCTATAACTCGCCTGCGAATCTAAAAAACGCTCCTTTTCTTTCACTTCATAAAATCAGATACCACCACTCATAGATGCCTCTGAATACATGATAACGACTTTTACTGCAGTGCATTACTCTCCGACTCCATAACGTAGGCATTGAATGGATTTTGCCTATAAAGGCGATATTATGAACTCCTGGGGTGTCCGCTGTTTATATAAAGTCAGTATTCGGTCCATATACTCGACTCTAAATCCCCGTAATGCCCGCTGCCACGTAGTAGCTGCTGTGTAAAGTCACCATTGAATACATGCTTCAAACCTCACAAATTCTCTTCTGACTTAAAGGGGTAAAAATTGCATTGTAATCTCTAGAAGTCTTTTCTGAATCTAAAATATGTTCCCTTATAATATTTACCTTCCTCCCACTTCATAACACCAGATTCGATCACTTGTATATGTCTCTGAATCCATGATATCGACTTTTACTGCGGTCCAGTACTCTCTTACTCCATGATGTTAGTATGGAATGCATTTTGTCCATGAAAACGACATTCTGACCTTATGTGGTATCCGCTGTTTACATAAAGTCAATATACCGCCACATATTCGCCTTTAAATCCCCGCAATCTGCGCTGCCTCGTATTAACATCTGCTTCCCTAAAATCATCATCGAATTCTAGTACTTGCTGCAAGTTTCACAAATCCACCTCTGACTTTTAGGGGTAAAAGTCATATTTTTTTAATATCAAGAAGTCGTCTGCAAATCTAAAGGTCCCCTTAATACATTAACTTTCCTCCCACTTCATAAAAGCAGATTCGATGCCTTATAGATGCCTCTGACTCCTTGATATCAACTTTTACTGCGGTTCAGTACTCTCAGACCCCATAACGTTAGTATTAAATGAATATTTTCCATGAAAACGATATTCTGACGATGTGTGTTCCCCGCTGTTTATAAACAGTCCACATTCTCGCATCTAACTCCCTTCAATACCCGATGCTCCGAAGTAGCGTTTGTTCGTATGAAATAAACATTGAATAAATGCAGTTACCTCAAAATGCAAAAATCCACCTCTGACTTCAAGAAGTAGAAGTCGTATTTTAATCTCGAGAACTCGTCTGTGAATCTATGAAATGTTCCATTAATACTTTTACTTTCCTTCGACTTCGCTTAATTAGTTTTGATACCGCATAGATGACTCTCAATCCTTGCTACCAACTTTTACTGCATTGTAGTTGTCTCTGCCTTCATGCAATCATTACTGAATACACTCCGCCTGTGAAAACAACATTAAGACCTCATGTGGTTCCCGCTGATTATATAAAGTCAGCTTGGGTTCCAGGTAGTCACCTCTAAATCTCCTGAATCCCCACTGCCACGTTGTAGCTCCTTTTTCTCCTCAAATGGCTTCTACCTCTGTGATGAACCTCTGACTCGGTGATGCCACTTCGAACTCCACAATTCTGCTTGATAGATGTTCTAGAAAATTAGTATAAGATTATAAAAAATATATATCAATATATGTGTGTGCGTCTGTGTTATCCACCATTGGCTCTGCATGAATAAAAAACCAAATTTATGCTGACTCGTTTTAGCCATCCATCCATCCAGCAAGTTATCCTTCATCCTCATTAAGTCAAAAGCTTTAAATGTTTCTGTTGTTGGTGTTTTTCTTTTCACTGGAATTTTTTGTTTTCTGTTCTGTTCAAAACTATTCATAAATATTTATATACACACTAATCTCTATCCAAATCCTTTAATTATAATTCTTTCTACAATTCCGGGAACCTGTTAACTTTTCCTGCATTGGTGTGTGTCTGTGCAACCAACCACAAAACAAATGCGTGCAACATGGTGTTACAAATCCGCGATAAACTATGGCAAAACTATCCTGCAAAAACAACACTACCACTACAAATGCAAAAAATCCGGATGCAAATGTGAACTTTTCTCCTTGGACCTGCACAACTGTTCATCCACCATAAATTCATTTGTTCCCCCTTCTATGCGTGTGGTTGTATGGTGGTTTTTATTATATCCGTTTCCGTCTCTGGCACATCCTTTCGTTTGGGTTTTCCTGTGATTCCTTGTTATAAAAACAAAATAAACAATAACAACAAAAAAAGGAGCTTAAAAGCAATACTGACACGATGGATATTTTAAAGCCAGCACCATCCTGGACAAATGTGGCCATCAAATCGACAACAGCTGTTGCAGCCCAACCCCTGGCTGCCGTAACTCCAGGCTCTTCCGCGGGCCAGGCAACGCACATTGTCGCCTCATCTTCCTCTTCATCCAGTGGTGGTGGAGCTTCACGCGTGGAGACCTCACGACCCAGTGTTGGGGCCATATCAACAACATCGACCTCTTCATTTCAATTAAATCAACAGCAACAGAAGGAACAACAGGCATCCCAATCGAACGACAAGGATCAGGCTACAACCTCAACGAAAGCAGCGACAGGCACAACATCCGGTGGCAATACCACAGATGAGGAGGCCAAAGGTGGGAGTGCACACAATTTTCTGAATACTCCTTTTTTGTTCACGAAAAAATTATATTTTCTTTATCTAGAGAGAAAAAATCGCCTCAAACAGAAGTTGGTGAAAAGTGCTCGATCTGTGGCTATCTTCTCATTGAAGTTAAAAGAACGACGCCAGAGAGAGGCTGAAAAGGCGGCCACGATAGCAATAGAGCATGCCAAGGTAAGTTGAAATTAATAGAACTCTTCGAAATGCCTCAGAATATATAATGCGAACATGTACTGCGGTGGGTACTCTCAGACTCCCTGATGTAAGAATTTATTGTATTTTTTTTCTATTAAAACGACATTCAGACCTTCTGTGATTGCCACTGATTATAAAAAGTCGGTCTTGAAGACACATAGTTCCCTCAAAACCCCTGTTGTACCCGCTGGCCCTTAATAACACCGTTCATAGTAGCTTTTACTGCGGTTCAGTACTCTCGGACTCCCTGATGTGATAACTGAAGGTATTTTTTCTATGAAAACGATATTCAGATCTTATGTAATCGCCGCTGACTGTAAAAAGTCGGTCGTGAGGTCACATAGTTCCCTCAAAACCCCTGTTGTACCCGCTGACCCGTAATAGTCCCGTTCGTAGTAGCTTTAACTGCGGTTCAGTACTCTCGGACTCCCTAGCGGCCATATTGACTGCATTTTGTATACGAAGTCGACAGTATGATCTCATGTGATAGTCGCTGACTGTAGAAAATCGGTAGTGAGATCATTAGTCCCCTTAAAACCCCTGTTGTATCCGCTGCCGCGTAATAACACCGTTCGTAGTAACTTTTACTGCGGTTCAGTACTCTCGGACTCCCTGATGTGATAACTGAAGGTATTTCTTAATTGAAAATAACATTCAGATCTTCTGTGATCGCCGCTGACTGTAAAAAGTCGGTCGTGAGGCCACATAGTTCCCTCAAAACCACTGTTGTACCAGCTGAACCGCAATAGTCCCGTTCGTAGCAGCGGCCATATTGACTGTATTTTGTATATGAAGTCGACAGTATGATCTCATGTGATAGTCGCTAATTATATAAAGTCGGTCGTAAAATCAAATAGCCCCCTCAAAACCTCTGTTTTACCTGCTGCCGATAATAACACCGTTCATAGTACCTTTTACTGCGGTTCAGTACTCTCGGACATCCTGATGTGATAACTGAAGGTATTTTTTCTATGAAAACGACATTCAGATCTTAGGTAATATCCGCTTATTATATAAAGTCGGTCTTGAAGACACATAGTTCCCTCAAAACTCCTATTGTACCCGCTGCTGCGTAATAGTCCCGTTCGTAGTAGCTTTAACTGTATTCTCGTACTCCCTAGCGGTCATATTGACTGCATTTTGTATATGAAGTCGACAGTATGATGTCATGTGATAGTCGCTGATTATATAAGGTCGGTCGTGAGTCCCCTCAAAACCCCTGTTGTACCCGCTGACCCGTAATAATCCCGTTCGTATTAGCTTTAACTGCGGTTCAGTACTCTCTGACTCCCTGATGTGATAACTGAATGTATTTTGCCTATGAAAACGACATTCAGATATTATGTGATTGCCGCTGATTATATAAAGTCGGTCGTGAGGTCACATAGTCCCCTCAAAACACCTGTCGTACCCGCTGCCGCGTAGTATTCCCGTTATTTTTCGTTTTTACTGCGGTTCATTACTCTAGGACTCTCTGGCGTCCATATTGATTGAATTTTGCCTATGAAGTTGACAGTATGATATCATGTGATTGCCGCTGATTATATAAATTCAACCGTGAGCTTATGCAGACGCTTCTAATACACTGTAGCCCCCGCTTCCACGTAGTAACCCCTGTCGAAGTAGCATTTAATGCGGTTCAGTAGTCTCTGACTCCCTGGCTGCCACGCATTAGCATTTTTGTACATAAAATCGACATAGAATTCATGCAGCTGCTCCCATGAAAATCGTTTCTTTAGAAAATAGTATTTACAAATTCTCCCCTTCTCTTCCTCTTTTTCCTTCTAGGCTTTAGCAAAACTACCGCCCCTACCACAACCCGGTGGTGAACTCTCCCTGATACCCATCGAACAGCTGATACAAATCGAAGATATAAAACCCCTGTTGAAATCACCACCTTCTGCGAGTAGCAGTAATACGACTGGAGCTGCTGGATCAGGTTCCAATGCTGCAGGTGCATCCTCGTCGTCGGCGTTCTCCAACGCGTCAAATGCTAATGCGAATACAACAACCTCAACAACGACATCATCATCCTCCACATCGGCGGCATTACTGGCAGCAGCCGCTGCCCATTTACAACAGCAGCAACAACATCAGCCGCCAGGATCGGCATCGGGTAGTTTTTAAAAATGCAAAATACAACCATTACAACTATATATACATAAGACACACATAAATACATATATATGTATACATACATATTTGTTATAGATTTAGTTTGTAAGCTAATGAATAACATGTTTTATCCAGCAACCTTGCGAACGATATCGGAGATTTATTGTTTTTGTAAATAAACTATAAGAAAAAAATATAAGAGGCGGAAGGCCATAAAGATGTCTTGGATCCTTAAAAATACAATGGAGCACCCAAAATATTTAAGTTAGAAGACCATCGAAAGGCTAACCATAACCTTATCGCTGACCATCCGATCTGAATCACAAAATTTTAATTTTTCTAACTTTTGAAAAAAAAATCTAGGACCTTAAGAGGATCCTAATAGACCTACGCAGATCTTCTGTCTATTGAATCAGGTCTTCTAACCACAGCAGGTCTCCTATATATAGCGGGACTTCTATTAATTGAAGACCAATAGCAGGTCCTTTATCTCTATGGAGGCTTATATCAAGACTTTTATGTCTCGTAAGATCTATAGCATCTCTCATATATATGGAAGACATATAGTAGTGTATATTATTTTATCTATAGATGACCAATAGAAGGACTTCTATCCATTGAAGACCTTATACAGGTCTACTATTTATACATCATCAAAACTTCTATACATAGAGGACTTAATGAAACTCTGCTATGCATAGAGGACATATTTAAGTTCTTCTATCCATCATTAACTTGGAGTTGATCCCTTATAAATTCCTGGGAAAGTAAGAAAACGACTTTGTCTGTGGCTCATTACTCTCAGACTCTATGACGCCGACATGAAGTGTATTTTGTCCATGAAGTCGACATTATGATCTCATGTGATGGCCGCTGATTATATAAAGTCAGTCATGAGCTTTCCCAATTCCCCAAAGTCACATCTCACTACAAGGAATAGAATCCTTGAATTTAGCATCGGACAAATATACTTCCCTCTGACATTACGACATTAGAACTGATAATTTACATATCCTACTGAGGGCGATTGGAGAAGCTATTGAAGTTCTTATACCCATAGATGACCTATAAAAGGTCTTCTGTCCATAGCGGACTTATTGAAAGTCTTTCATACATAGAGAACCTATTGAAGCCCTTCTACCCATAGAGAAACTTTTAAAGGCATTTTTTTATGGAGGACCTATTGGAGGTTTAAAATTCATTGATGACCTACAAAAGGTATTCTAAGACCTATTTAGGCTCTTCTATACATAACCCATATATACACTTCTATTCATATATAACCTATTGAAGGTCATCTATTCATAGAGAACATATAGGCCTATAAAAGGTATTCTATCCATAAATTACCTGTTGAAGCTTTTTTATACATAGAGGAACTATTGAAGGTCTCCTACCTATGGAAAACATAATTAAGTTCTCCATATAGGTCCTATTGAATATCTTCTGATTATATATGGTATATTGAAGTTCTTCCATCCATATAGGACATATTGAAGTTCTCCTATCCTTAGATGACCTATTGAAGTTAGTCTATCCATAGACTTTTTAAAGTTCACCTTTGCATTTCTATAGGTCCTGAAGTACTTCTATTCATAGAAGATCTCATTAAGGTTGATAGAGGGACTATCGAAGGTATTATATCCATAACAATCCTTCTTCTATCCACAGTGAACTTCCTCTCCTATTCATAGAAGACCTATAGAAGTTCTTCCGTCCGTAGAGGATCAACTGCTGCTCTTGTATCGTTAGAAGCCATATCGAAGGTATTCTATACATAGGCCCCATTTAGCCCTTGAATGCCGTCTTGTTATTACCTTTCCTTCGAATTTACGAAATCGGAGTATATTTTTTGCAGATTCATCCCAATTCATGAAATCTAATTTTATTGCGGTGCTGTACTCTCTGACTCCATGGCCTCGGTGTGGACTGCATTTTGACCATGCAGTCGATATTATGAAATCATGTAGTCGCCGTTGACTATATAAAATCAGCCGTGAGTTCACCCAGACGTATCTAGTTGACTATTCTATACATATAGGTCCCTCCTGAGTAAGGTTTTCAAATCACAGCAGACCCATTAAAGGTCTTTAAATAATCTCATAATTTTTTCAACATTTTCGAAGTTTCTTCATCATTATCTTCAAAATTCTGAATTCGAAAAAATACTAAAAAAGACAACAACATAAAGTGACTTACTAATACAAACGAAGACACAAACATACATGGCAACACTACTACATATTAAGTGTTTAACTAAGCAAAACATTTCTTAACAACCACTTACTACAACATAACGAGAGAAAAAAATAAATTACATAGTATATAGAAACAACATTAGAAATACTTACAACAACTAACTTAAATTTAGTTATAGTTGAAGTGGAAAAAAGAACGAAACTTATATTTTTTAGTAATAGAAAAAATTAGATTTAGAAAAAAACACAAAACAAAAAATTACAAAAAAACTCTTTGAAGTTGAAATTTATGTTGCTGCGCAGAAACTAGACATACTGTTATATATTGATATTGATTAAAAAAAAGAAAATAAAAAATTATATATGTGTATTATATATTATATGGGTGGAGAGTTTTTTTTTTTGCGGAATCAAAAATTAAAAAAAATCAATTTTTTAAAATTTTTAATTTAAAAAAAATATCTGATCATTGAAAACAGTTATTTAAAATAATAGGCTTATGCTGACACTTGAACAAAATATTTGTAATAATCTCCCTGATATGTGTATGGACCTTAAAGAATATTTATAATCATTTCAGGCTAATGAAGACTCTTGAAAATAGTATACTTTTATGAAGGCACTTATGATATATATTTACAAACTTTCTATTTTCTTAATTAAGGGGAAATGATTCCTTGAAAAAAAAGGTATTTTTAGAATTCAAGACTTTTGAGTGGCCTTTAAATATATTATTAATAATTTTAGACTAATAAAGGCACTTACAATCTTTTTTTAAAAATTCTAGGCACATGTTGCTTCATGAAACAATTACAAATTTTTCAATATTAAACCTAAGACATGTGTTTAATTCGTCGGATATCGTGATGACTGAAATAAAATAGCACTATTCTGATGGTTCTTAAAAAAAAAAAAAAATATTTTTTATGTTGGCCCTTAAAAACTATTTTAGAGTTTCCTAAAAACAGATTTTTAAAAAACATTTTAAAGTATCTGACGCTTGTGGGGGTCCCAAGAAACTCTTTATAATAATTTGAGTATAATGGAGATCTTTGAGGTCCTCGAAAAATCGGATTATGCCGAACCTGAAAATAGTTTTAAGAGAAATCAAGTCTCCTTAAAGACACAATTTTTTTAAATAATGGGATTTGGAGTATACAGAACCTGAATATAGTCTTAAGAGAAATCCAGGTTCCCGAAAAACACAGTTTTTTTTAAATAATGGGATTAGGGGAACCCTTAAAAATTATTATCAACCAGCCAGACAAACTGAGAGAAGGTGAGGAATTTTAACAAATATTTTTAGGGACTTACCGAACACATGGATTTTTTAAAGAATATCATTTAGGGTCCAACACAAGGAGTGAGTTTTTTAAAGGAATTTTTTTTGAGATCAGCAAGGGTTGGATTTTTTAAAGAATATTTTTAGAGGTTAGTACAAGGCGTGGATTTTTTAAGGAATATTTTTTAGAAATACAAGGCGTGGATTTTTTTAAAGATTTTTTTTTTAGAATTCAATACAAGGCGTGGATTTTTTTAAAGAAAAATTTTTTGGAGATCATCAAGGATTGGATTTTTTAAGGAATATTTTTTTAGAATTTAAATAACAATTTTTAGAGTTCAGCAAGGGTTGTATTTTTTAAAGAATATTTTTTTTTTTTGAGTTCAGCAAGGGGTGGATGTATATAGGTCGAAGTTTTGACATCATAAAGGTCATGTCCCATTTTCCATATTTTAATTGGAAAATGGGACAAGGGGGTAACATAAATGAATAACATGAAGTCAATTCAAAATTTCCGAAAAGAGATATTAGACACCCTTCCTTGCACCTTACACCTATTATTGGGACTAAATCCCATTTTACCCCCGTAATAGGTGTAAGGTTATTGAAGGGTGTCTAATATCTCTTTTCGGAAATTTTGAATTGACTTCAATTTGCAACGTTTTCTTGGTTAGAAAAAATTGCTATCCAGAAAATGTTCATCGTAGGACAATGTTTATACCCTCGGCCTTATGGCAGACAGACAATTGTGGGCCAATTTAAAAATGTCCGTCCGTCTGTCTGTCTGGTGCTCACAATAACTCTCGAAAGACGGTAACCGATTTCATCTAAACATTGCACATCGTAATATTTCTTACAAAATTAAAACAAATTGGGATATTCGGAATATCAGTCCACTTCTTCTGGTGCATCTACCAATAAATGGTCAAAATATTGAGGAAAATTATTTTTTTTATAATGTCATGCGAACTTAAGCTTCCGATTTAAACAATACGCATTGTAAAAAGTAGTTCTTAAAACATCAAAGCCTTGTGTTGTTCGTTATTTTTTTTAAATCCATGGCTTCAGTTAGTCTTTAAAAAATATTTTTTAAAAAATCCTAGTCTATTCCTTGTGCTGCTCCCTAAAAGATATTTTTAAAAAAATACATGCTTTGTTTGGCCCTCAAAACAATTGTTTTAAAATCCAGGACTTTTTTGGTCTTTAAAAATATTAAAAAACTACGACTTCTGTTTGCCCTAAAACTTAAAAAATATTTTTTAAAAAAATCCACGCCTTGTGTTGACACTTAAAAATATTACAATAAAAAACTACGACTTCTGTTTGTCCCTAAAAATTAAAAAAATATTTTTTTTAAAAAAATTCACGCCTTATGTTGGCCCTTATAAATATTTTTTAAAAAATCCACGCCTTATGTTAGCCCTTATAAATATTTTTTAAAAAATCCACGCCTTATGTTTGCCCTTATAAATATTTTTTAAAAAATCCATGCCATATGTTAGCCCTTACAAATATTTTTTTAAAAAATCTAC